TAAGCTGGTGAAGAATTTGGGTCCTAAATCTAAGGCAAAACTAAGGGAGGTAGTGAGTACCATGATAACAAAAGGAAATATTCCAGATGAATGGAGGCTTAGTAGGATGAGTATGATATATAAGGGAAAGGGAGATAGGTCTGATATTAGGAATTATCGTCCTATAACCGTGACACCGGTTATTTACAGGTTGGTAATGCAGATTATAAAGAACAGACTGGAGGAATGGGTAGATTGCGAGGGCATACTGGGCGAGTTACAGAACGGGTTTCGAAAACAAAGAAGGTTGGAGGACAACTTATTTTCTCTAACACAGTGTATAGAAATAGCGCAAAAAGAAAACAGACAGCTCTGGCTGGCATTTCTGGATATCAAGGGTGCCTATGACAATGTGAACCAAAGAAACCTGTGGGACATAATGGAGAACTTAAACCTAGATGAAGGACTAACAGCACTATTAAGGAACATTTACAAAGATAACAAGGTGATTATAACATGGGAAGGAAAGGCGACAGGGAAAATAGAGATAAGACGAGGCCTTAGGCAGGGGTGCCCGTTATCGCCTTTGCTGTTTATGTTGTATCTGAGAGGATTGGAGGATAGACTAGAGAAGAGTGGGCTTGGGTTCAACCTTTCTTACAGTAAGCTAGGCCAAAAAATTCAGCAATCCTTACCGGGATTGATGTATGCGGATGATATTGTACTAATGGCTAACAACAGGACAGAGTTGCAGGAATTAATGAGCATCTGTGGTAGGGAAGGAGAGGAATTAGGTTTAGAATTCAGTAGCGAAAAATCGGCAGTCATGATTTTTAACGAGGATGAAGTTGAGAGGCTGAAGATACAGAATATTACAGTTGAGAGAGCTAGTAAATACAAGTATCTAGGAGTATGGATATGTGATGGTGCAGAATATCTCAGAGACCACGAAAAGTATATAATAGGTAAGGGCAACAGAAATGCAGCTGTAATGAAAAATAGAGCACTTTGGAATTACAACAGGTATGAGGTGGTGAGAGAGATTTGGAAAGGGGTCATGGTGCCTGGCTTGACTTTTGGAAACGCAGTGCTATGCATGAAATCCGAAGTGCATGCGAAACTAGAAATAAAACAGCGCGGAGTAGGTAGACTGGCTTTGGGGGCACATTGCAAAACGCCAAACCAGGGAGTACAAGGAGACATGGGATGGGCATCATTTGAGAGCAGGGAAGCGGTGAGCAAGGTAGAATTTGAGGATAGGTTGAGGCTAATGGACGGGGAGCAATGGGCACGAAAGGTTTTCAGCTATTTATACATGAGGAGTGTAGACACCAAGTGGAGACAGCGCACTAGGAAATTAAGAGGAAAGTTTTTGGGCTATAGCGAAGATACGGAAGAGCAAGTCTCAGTTAAGAAGAAAGTTAAGGCCACAGAAAGAGATCGGTGGCTAGAGGGAATGCAGACAAAGACGGCTCTGGAAAGCTATAGATTAAACAAAAGAGTTATTGCCAAAGAAAGCATTTATGACAATTCTAGGGGAAGCTCATTGCTGTTTGAGGCAAGAACGGGTGTTCTGCGAACCAGAACATACAGAGTGAAGTACCAGGAAATTGATACAGTGTGCACTGCTTGTGGAGAGGAGGACGAGACGGCTGAGCACTTGATACTCTACTGTAAAGGGCTTCACCCTATGCCTACCGAAGACAACATAGATTTAATAAAGTCATTGGGTTTTAGAGACAGCGAAGGGAGAGTGGATTTCAAGACTGTAGAGATTACCAAGCAAAGATTAAGTGAATGGTGGCAGAAATCGAGAGAAAACTAGGTATTTACTTATTCACTGATGGCAAGGGGGTTTCATAGCCTCACTTTCTTTGCACTGCGGAGTGAATATAGATTTCACATTTAAATATTCTAAGCTTAAATGGTAAAACAAAATGGCTAGGTGGCGTAAGCTACCGCCCGATCCAAAGGGCTCAGCCGTATTCATCCATCCATCCATCCATGGATGCCTTCACTGGAACATCCGTTCGAGAAATACAACCCCAAACAAATAACGAAAAATCTAAGATAGTGCAGGAATTGTGCACATGGTAAAAGTTGCCGTGGCAGCTTTTTTTAAGTGGTACAGGGTGTTCCTCTCTTTTAATGGGGCCAGGAAAAAAAAAAAAAAAAGGAAGTAGCATTAGGGTTTCTTTAACCCTGGGGCTAAGTTGGTGGTCATGGGGGCCACTAAAAGAAGCAAAATTGATTGTTAGCTGAACTCAAATGTTTAAATTAACTGTTTATACTTCAGTTTTTTTGCGCATAATATAGCGCTTCACTACATTGCAGTGTAGTCACGACGTGAAATTTTATTAAAAAAAAGTGAAGTGGGTGCTACAGGGCAAGGAAAGGCCATCTTTGTACATGGCCTCAAACAGAAACTAACCTGGCAAAAAGCACCCAAGACGGCGATTCCTCCACTCTGTGCTTGTAATGCACTGATCACGTCACCCATGATGCGGACACGTATTTGCGCAGCCAGTGCCTTACAAAGGGATAGACGTCATGGGCGCTCTTCATCCCCAACTTAGCCCCAGGGAAAAAAAAAAAACACTAATAAAAGCTTTTTTTCTTTTTTAAGTTAAAAAAAAATAAAAACACAGTTTTTGAGGTGTTTTAACAAACCTTTAAAAAAAAATCCTCACAATGGGTTGTTAAAAAACAATGTTTTGGGAACAAATTGTTAGTTATGGCTAACGTCACTGATTGCAAAAACATTCCAATTAGCCAAATAATTCACTAAAATTTCCTATCCAAGTTTTTAATTCATGAAAATAAACATGTCGCTACAATTAGAAACTTGCTGAGCGTCATTTAAACACTCCTAAATCGGTCAATTTTAGGGAGACAAAGCATGTGCGAGGCGCGAGGGTGTGCTAAAGTTCCCACTCGTGCAGTAGTAGCAAGGCTGGCGATGCGAAGACAGGTATGATATTCTTAACATCGGCGTTTTTGCATCACCGGGCTTCTGCCTGCTGCGCGAATGGAAACTTTAGCGGACCCCCAAGCTTCAATGTGGTTGAAATCTACCTAGAAATCTATCTTATGACCTACTGTAATCCCGACCTGCCCACAGAATGACTCCCAATGGAAGACGCTGTCGTTAATGAAGTGTCTCGCTCTGCCACTGGGGGCGCTCGGCGAAAGCTTTTCTGCGGAATGGACATCACCGCACGGCTAGCAATATCCATTCCTCGGGAACACCTACCGTAGCGTGGCGCCAGCAGGCTGCAGTATAGTACCACTGCAGCAGGACACATCACTTTCATGTTTGCTTGGGTCGAAAGAGCATGTTTCTCAGGCATGGAAGCACAAGGAAGTCTTTTAGCTCCGACTGCTCTCATGCCATCATCGAAATAAGGCGCATTCTAAGATCACCCGTAAACAGCCACTGCGCTGCCAGCCGGTGACTCTAGTGATGATCTCAATCTGTCACGAACACACCGACTGACGAGATGCCGCAAGGAGAGCCGGTCAGGACCAGATAACGCTGCTGCGCTTCGTGCACCTTCGATTATTATGCAGGTATTCTAGGAAACAAAACTAAAGTTATGTAGCGCCACAAGTCATAGCGTGACGAAGCGCAGCGGCCGCAGGCTGTTCTACAAGGCGCACATCTGTGGGCAGGTCAGGACTACAGTATGTCGTAGTCTGCATTTGCCTTATCAGCATGCAAGATTCTAATGGCCAACATAAGACATTATGAATGCACATGCAAAGTGCCATTTGTTTTAAATTTTTGCTTTATAACAGTTACTGCTGCAACTGCCAGGACATGCAAAGACTCGTGCAGCATGCCCCTTGGTGAATGAAAAGAAAGAGAAAGGCCTTCCTCATGCTGTCACAAATATATGTCCCATAATAAACGTAGCAATGGCTGTGTGGGTGTGGTTATAAATAAAAACAAACCATTGTACTTGCTGTGTGTGTGTGTGTGTGTGTGTGTGGGGGGGGGGGGGGGGGGTCTTCACATTAAGACTACAATGTTTTATCAAAATAGTAAAGTTCACATATAGACAGACTTCTTTGGACCTCAGATGACACAATGTCAATAAATGAACATACCAAGCTTTTGTCGAGGTATTGAAACTAATCTGATCGAGTGTTTTATGCAGTGACATACAAATTCACTATGCAAGTGCTACCAACGAGTGGCAGCAGATGTTGGTATGCACCAAAGTCTCCTTGTCCAAGCACTGCTCCATTGCATGGCATTTGTTCAAAATATTATGACCAGAGATCAGCATAGTGAAAACAACGCCACGTGCAACCCCTCTACTGTTCACGAGGATGTAATGCGCCGACAAATTTGTTATCAACGTACCGATAAATATGTTGCGAGCCAAAAGTAAAAGCAGCCTCGTTGAGGTCTTCACAAAGCTGCCTCCACTCGGCAACCATTGCTAAAAATTTACCAAGCCTCCTCAAGAGCTCCTTCAGACCCAGATGTGCACGAAATGCACTGCTGGCACGCGCGTTTGAAAGACCAAACAACGTCTTGAGACATTGAAAACTTGCGCAATGTCACAGTACAGCCAACTGTGCACACACGTGAAATATATAAAATGAAAAAAAAAATGAAAAAAACATCTATTTACTTTGATACCATTCGGCTCGTTTGAGGAGGCGCTAGTTTACTTAATATACTTCCAGGACGCCCGTGTCGTCGTGAACAAGTAGTCCCCGTTGACACTTCGACCGACGCCCAGTCGAGTTGATTATTGTAGGCAACAGATGAACGAGCCAAGAGGCGTTGCTTCCGAAAAAGTCACGCGACGCCACATCAACAGACGTTAAGGTCATTCGAATTCCTGACGACGCTGTTAGCGTGCATGAATACCGCCTAACAGTTTGAAAAGAACACATGTGAAAAAAAAAAAAGTTGTGGAAACCGTCGTCTGCTGCGAACAAAGCGCTACAAGAGGAAGCTGGGACGCTCGGGGCGGAAAAGGCAAATAGAGAAAATCAATACTTACGGCAAAGAAAAAGTTAAATATGAAAAGTAGGTTCTTGATACACGACATTCCGCATCCTTGCACCATGGCTGTGTCTTTGTGGGACAAAAATCCAACTTGGGAGGAACGAAACAGCACAACTACGCAGACCTGCGGCCGACCAAAGCGAATCCCCAACTAAAATGGCAAAACGAGCGTTCTTCCTCCGCCGCGGCGTCACAGCGTCAGTGAGGGGCCCAGCAATGGGTGTTGTTTTAACTCTGTCGACGAGGTGATGTCATGCAGTTGAGTTCCCTTTTATCAAGACGTATTCTTCTGAAACATGCAGCGCCAGGAGATAAAGGACTTCAACGGTAATTTATCGGCGAATACGTCAGCGTTTAGAGGGACTATATCCTCTCTCGCCGTCTTACCGCGCGCAGCGGTAAAATTGGTCTTTCGGTCTTTCGCGTCCGCGCGCGGCGCGGCAGCGCGGCCTCGCTTGCGCTCCTCGCGCCCGCGCCCTCGATTTCTTTCTGCTCATGGCCGCCGTTGCAAAAATAAAATAAGAAAAAAAAGTTGCTGTCGTGTTTTTAAGGGGTGATGTGAGCTGCTTGAGCGCAGGAATTCCGGAGATCACAGGAGGGGGGTCGTGTCTTGCTCAACTTTTCGCTAAGATGAAGGTGAATCCTTTCTTGGCTGTCCTCCCCTCCCCCTTTTCCCTCCCCCCTCTTCCCCCACACCCATGGTACTTATTTGGAGGCAAAAGAAAGGTGGTATCACACCACAAATGAGCAACACATATATTTTTTTTGTCTTTTTCTTCTTTTTTTACGGTGTAAAGCTAAGTTGACATCGAAGAGCCGCTGAAGTCGACCTGAAGTAGGCCGTGCTTACAGACTTGACGATCGTCGCTGGTTTCGTTAGTATCATTCGACAGAGCACATCACCGTCCTGTCCGGATCGCAACCTTATGCGTAAGTTGGTGCTCGGAAAACAAGTTATATGATGAACACTCGCCAACGGACGCAGTATGTTTTCTTATGCATGTGTGTGTCTGGGTATTTTAGAGCCATGTTTCATATCTAGTCACCCTTCTTTCCCTCAATAAAGTTGCGTTTTTTTTTTGTTTTTTTTTTTCGTTTTTGGTTTCTTTGAGGGGGGTCCGCCCCGACTGACATGATCCGCTGACGTGAACTGAGCAGCTGTGGCGGTTCTAACTCTATGCGGGGACCGAACCAGACGTAGAGCAGCTGGAATGCTCTCCCAAACAAACATTTATGATTTGCTCATTTGCTCAACTATATCTATCTATCTATCTATCTCTATCTCTCTCTCTCTCTCTCTATATATATATATATATATATATATAATATTTCAGATGTTTGTACAAAAATACTGTAAAGAATAACTGATACCTCTGTTTTTACCGGACCTAAAAACAACACGTAAGAAAAAGAAGGGGGAAAATTGCTCTGAGGGGGTGGAAATTTTGTTTACTGTGAATGCTGTGGGTTGATTGCATTGTTCGTGGATAACAGGAAAAAAAAAACTGATATCACGCTTTATTAGCATTGGAATTCGATAAAGAACCTACACCCAGACGGTGATAAGAGACAGCATTTATTGCACGAGACGAGACAATAAGGATTGCCCACACGTCACATTTATAACGGAGAGAAAGGGGCAGTACTAAAACAACGTATCGTAAAAGCAAGCAGCTGATTTCTGCTACGGCCTCAGCACCAGGATCACTCGCGAGGTGTTTGGGTGACCACCAAACGATCGACATCCTCGGACCGCAGAACTGTACCGCATTGGGAAGCCTACTGTCTCCCAGACGTTTGATGCGAATGGGACTGGGTCCTTCTCCGGATTCGAGATTCAATGCATGTCGCCATTCCAGTGATGTGTATCCACTCAGGTGATCACGACAGAAGCTGATCTCTTCAACGGCGAGTCGAAGAGCAGTCGTCGTTTGCATTCCTCAAAATCGCCAGCTCTTTCCACTTTAGCAGAGCGAATGCTGGAGAGGAGGTCAGTTCCTCTGTAGCGTTCGTTGTGCTAAAGTGGAAAGAGGTGGGAGGAGTTTCCCTAAACTCTTAACTTAAACCTGTCACCGACTTTTTTTTTTTTTTATTTATTGTACTTTTCCGGTGCACCTAAACAGCCCTATAGTTTTGCTTGTGGCTCAAAATGATACCTCTTATTGAAGACAACAATACCGGAGCGGCGTGAGCGTGGGTGGTATGGGTTGAGTAGAACCGAAAGCTGCCGAAGCGAAGCACAATGCGGCGTAAAATACCTCCCCTTGCTTTCGAATGTTGTAGGGATGTTCCGTCGCGTATGACATGCACGTCCTCGAGACCCAGTCCACGTAAAAATCCTCCCGCGACTATTTCAATTTCAACCTTGGTGGCGGCTCGCGAGCTTTAGCACGCGCTCCAAGTACCAAAACACAAAAAAACTAATATCAATAAAAAAAAAAAAAAGGAAACGAGAGCCACGTGCAACGGCGGAAGGAGCCCGTAATCTCCCCGACTAGCCAAGAAAGCGTGCACCCGCGTGATGGCACAACGCGCGCAAAGAAAAAAAAAACTGGTTGCTATCTCTCCTCCCCTCCCGTCCAGCGCACACCCCTCGTGCCAAGGCAGTCAAGGTGTGCCTTCCACTTTCCCTCGGCGTGGCCTACAGAAAAGTTTCGAGACGAAGCCCCCGCGGGAAGGTTCTTGCCGTTCCGGATGACTCGGCGACTGTCAAGGTGATGCCCGAAGGAGGACCGAGCCACGGGCGGGTGGGCGGACCTCGACGGCTCGCGCGAAGGAACGTCGGCTGGCTGCCCCCGATGCCTACCCTGACTTTGACGTCACACTGCCGCCAAGTGATATCACTCGAGACGCGTAAATACCGCTCGGTGACGTGGTGCCGGATTCTGTTTGTGAATAGGGTAGTCAACGGCTCCTTGGAGAACATCTTGTACGGTTTCAGGCAGTGGCGCCAGAGCACGGTTGGACATGCCTCCCCACAAATAAGGAAATCAAGTGTGCGTGTGCATGTGTGCGCGCGTGTGCGTTTTCTACCTTCTCATTAAAGAAAAAAGAAAAAAAGTTGCAAATTTGTTTACGGAACAAATTATTATTGAGATTTCGCTTGCACTGAATTCGTACTCACCAACTTTTGTCGAGACACAATCGTGCTTTTATCATCCATCGGTCCCGTTCTCAGTTATCCGTCAAGAATGAAAGAACCATCAGATGACATTTTCACCCTAAACTGATAAAGGCCCGTTCACACTCTTGCGACTGAGTAAGACCCAGAGAGACCAGACCGGTTTTTAAGCATCTTGCGATCTCAGAACCAGCTCCGCTGCATCGCATCTGGTCCTAAGAAGTCGCAAAAGGCTTAAAAACCGGTCTCGTCTCTCTCGGTCGTACTTGGTTGCAAGAGAGTGTACGGACCTTAAGGCGGTGGAGCTATACCCCCTCGTTCGACAACTCATAAGTCCATCTCTTCGCCATGTGGCCATGTCCACGCGCAAAGATCACTAGGGTCAGCGGCCACTGCACTGGGTGCCGCTGACCCTAGCGACGCCACCACCAAAATTGTCACATATTGATAAAAAAAAAATGAAATCTGAAAAATTACATTGAAGTGGATATTTTGAACCCATGAAATATTTATTCGTGCTTGCTGCACCTCGCTTGGGCACCCCAGCAAAAGCCGTTTAATTTGGATACAGGCAGTGGGGTATATTCGTATTAATTTTCTTCAAATCTCTATACGTCGCGGCGTATATACCGCGCGTCAGACCTGTTTAGTTTTCAATAAATAAAATTCTAAAAGAGCGGGGAAGGACGCTGAGGTTTTGACCGAGTGTCGTCTGTGACTTTATTCTCATACCGTAAACGATCCCAAGCTATCAGCGACAGACCCCCAATACGTTTTATAGTGATTTATGAATAATTAAGTAAGATAACATTTAAGTGTATGTTTAGTATTTATAGTCTAGAAGCCTTTACAAAATTCCTGAACATGCTTCTGGGGACAATTTTTGCTCAAAAATACTGTTTATTTTACGAGTAGAGTTTTTAGAGTATCACTATCAAAATAAAGTCACGCACAGCACATGTCATTTCCTTTCATACGACATAAAGTTTATGTTTTTATTCCTTATTTCTATTGAGAAGTAAATTATGTAAAATTCAATGTTTTAAGATTGTGCTAAAGTTTAGCAAGCTTCTGATCTCAAAATAAAAAATGATAATTCTTAATTTTTTTTTGTTTACATTTTTTATGCTTTCTTTTAACGCGCACGTAGCTCGTAAGGAGTAAATGCTTAATCGAAGTGCGGAGCCTCTAAATATGTTATAAAGCAGCAACGGTCGAAGGGGAGCTAATGCCACTGAACGCTACACTCGAGCTTACGTTGTTTTTGCAGAGAAGCGGTTTTGCTTCTGCCATAAATACAGTCGTCAAAAAAAAAATTAGGATAAAACACTAGAACGAATGCACTTCGTCACCCGCGTTAGCACAACCGAACGGCGGTACCAATTAAGTGAGGACTTTTGCACATATCCTACGATCTCTGAAGATATATCAGCCAAACAAAGTGCACTCCTGCAAAAAAAAAAAAAAAAAAATCGATATTGGCGGGTTGCCTTGCAAACTACCAATCCATTCCAGAGGAGGTTTCCACACCGGCAGGTCGATCGACAATTGTTTGCGCTCTCGCCTTGTCGGGGCTTCGAGCTCCGCGATAGGAGAGATAAAAATAGAAGAAAGCCGGGTAAACACCACCGTCGGCTTTCGACACTTCTAATGTTCCTAGGGCAGAAATACAGGAATCGAGTATTAAATTTTTTTTTGTTAATTTCTGCGTCCAACTTTGGCAAAGATAAGTACTTAGAAGAATGGATACAATGGATGTAACCCCTATGTACACGGCAGTAGTGTCCGTTAATTACTTAGCCTATTTGTGTCATTTCTTGTCATCGTAAGATGTGCACGCACGCAGTACTTCCAATCGAATAATGCCACGTCATTCACGCGTCCGTTGTGCGTCGACAAACCGGACCTTCTCGTGCGATACTGACCTGCAGAAGCTAGGGACACTATTTGATGCGAATAAAGCGCACACCCATATTCGCCTGTTATCCTCGAGAGTCGCCGGTACGGTGCCAACATATTAATGTTGGCATGGGGCCTTCAGTTTTAGAGGTCGACAGCCCCGTGACGGGGTGCTGGGGCTGTTTTAGCCACGGGCGTTCGCGATTTATCGCAAAACCACGCGTGTGATGGCGCCGTATTATCATCATCGCTCTTTCGCAGCTCCGACGATGGTAGGAAATATTATATGGCAATCCCAGGTAATTGTGCCTTTGCACTTGCGAATTCGCTGGCAATCTGGATATGAGTCCCGGACCAATGCAGATTTTCCGCCAGCGAACAGCGGATTTCGTCACCCGGCTCCAAAATCCACTCACTGCCGGCGCGGATCCGCCCGCGGATTCGCAAGTGTAAACACGCCATAACTCTGTGAGGCGTGGTCGCAGCCCCGCCGGCGTATCAAACCTCGCTCCACGGGAAACAGCCCTGAGTCAACCGCGGCGACCATTGAATCCGGCTATCAGCGATGACGGAACGAACGGTGTCGCACCAGTGACGGCAGCGAATACGCCACGGAGCCGCATAGCGCTTCGAGCGTCACAC